CTTAGCTGTGCTGGAAACCTATTAGAGAATAAAGGCAAAGTAAACATTTCTGCATGTAATATACTCCCACTACTCTGATCAATGAAGCACATTTTATTTAACAAAATACACCATACTGTACACATGTCCAATTTGCATTAATAAACACCCACTAGCCCCATGGTAGCTAGGATAGGCTCTTGGAATTCTGAATTGGATAAGTGGAAGAGAATGGATGGATGGATGGATGGATGGATAGATGATGGAAGATAGTGGGATGGGTGGGTGGAGAAACTTAACAATCACATAAAAAATTTCCTAAATTCACAGAGCACTTTTTGTTGCTTTAGAAAAATGTTTCATTAAATTATATACTGCCAAAAACTATGTATTGTAACAACTGAATGATGTGCTTTGCTTTCACACAATGTTTGCAGCTTGAAATATTATAGAAATCGCATGTTTTCACAGTTTAGTCTCCACAATCACACGCTGTGAGTCTATCGCACACTGTTTTTTACTGTGATATTTTTGTTTACTTAGCTTAGTCTAGCAATGGAAACTTACGGGCAATTACTAACCTTCCACTAGTAATTTCAATGTATTTAGTTCCGTTCTTACCTCTTCTGCTTTGGGCCCTTTCGAGTGCAAGGTCTAAGAATGTAGATGGGACACGCTGTGAGGGACTCTTGTGATGTGGAAGGCACGTTCTCCATAACATTAGCTGGATAACCAGGGGCTATCTGACCGGAGAGGTTCACTGCATTTGGTCTTCCACAGTGAATTTATTCAAATTTCTTCATCAGTAGCACGATGCAGTACACTGGTACTAATATTAGGTTGGCCAAAACATGCATTTGCCTGGGTGTTAATTAGCTCCTCATTACTTAAAATTTGAGCCACAAGATTCTGTGCGGACTGGCTCATAGTGCCTTTCTTCGCAGCTACAAACAAGGAAAACACTAGTGACTGTATATTCAGAAGATCATTCTATATATATAATATTTTCCTAAACGGCATTCCATAATGTGTATATATATGTAAGGACACATATACACATGATTTAAAGGACACACACATATATACACATCTCTCTCTCTCTCTCTCTATCTATCTATCTATCTATCTATCTATCTATATCTATCTATATACACACACATATATATGTGTGTATGTGTCCTTTAAATCAAAGCACATCCCAATAAATACACAAAGCTGAAATGAAGTTTTTCAAATAAATGGCAATGCAAAATTACTGATTGGAACACGAATAATGTGTATTCTGGATTTGGGTGTAATGAGTTTAACGCTACATAAAACATGTCTGTAAAATGTATTATAAATGGAGATAAAACCTTAAGTTTATTAAAAACTGTGTTTTAATAAAGCAAGCCATCTTGCATAGTATGAGAACTTAAATGTATTTTTTTTTTCAACAACCCTAGGTGGGAAATGCATTTAAAAAAACTGAAGCAAAACAAGAACTGCGCACCATTGCATCATCTCCCTCAGACAAATACGTGTTTCAAGTGGAGAACTTCGATGCACTTGAAATAATAAGACAAAATTTGCAAGAAAAAATTTTCTCCATTGAAGGTACAAACATAAATGTATTGTGTTAACTTTGTTACAAATTTCTGTAAACATACAAATTTAAAATGATTATACTTAATAATAAGGAAAAAACAAACTTAATGTCTCATTTCAAGGTAAAATTCCTGTTGCTCTACATGCTGTTTATTATAAAAGTGCTGTGACACATTTATGAACAATAATGAAAATTTGTCTTTGTAACGTGAAATTGTATTATGTCTTTTATCTTCGCTTATTTTTCTGTCACAGGATCTCAAACCAGTGGAGAGACACTAAAAATGGAAATGTCTCAAGAGGGATTCAGTGCAGTTTATGTGCCTGAGGTAATTACAGTTTTTCTCAGTCGCTTTGGTGCTTTTCTCAGATCAAAATGAAAATTCTCAAAACCATTAGTGCAACCTCCACAACATTTAGTCATTTGTGCACATCATAGTAGCAATTTCTCCTTCCTCTGAACAAATTGCAAATGCTCTTGGACATGTATCAGTTGCTTTCATACAATTCTCTGCCATCGACAACATTATCATTTGCTTATGTCATGTCAGTCAAAATGAACTATACTTTTGGAAGCTAAATAGTGGTTCCCAATCAAACTAATAGTCTTGATTTCATTGAGTCATTAAATACAAAATTGGTGAATTAGTTTTCAAATGCTGTCAAGCAAATGTTATACCTTTTTTTCATTAATTTGTTCCTGTCCCTGAAATTGAACAATTTCTCTCATGCCATAGTCCCTGAGAATGAGAAGGGTGGAGGTCAACTCAACAAGTATGTTGTTGTGTGGGATAATGTCCCTTTTCACTACACACATCTGGTCAGACAGTGGTTTGCAGCACATGACAGAATGTCTGTTGAATATCTCCCTCCCTACTCCCCATTCCATATTCCGATAGAGGAGTTTTTGGCTGCCTGGAGGTTGAAGGTTTATGACCGGCATTCACATGCACAAATGGCCCTGCTAGCAGCCATGGATGCAGCATGTGATAACATCACAGCAGAGTCATGCAGAGGGTGGATTCGCCACTCCAGGAGACTTTCCTTGCTGCATTGCAAGGGATGATATCCGTTGTGATGTAGATGAGACAGAAAGGAACGTCTGAATGTGCCAGAATGATTTACGTTACAATATGTACTGTTATATTGTTCACATTTGTGCACAGCTCTACCAAAAGGTTATTTCTCATGTTTATTCTAAATACGTGACTGTAGAGTATTTTTCTTTTGCACAATGTTGTAGAATTACAAA